ACATATTATCCACATCAACGAAGTAGTTTGACTAGCGTGGTAAGCATGGTTTGATAGAATCTCAATAACAAATCCACAACATTATATGATCACTCTCTCTTCGAAATATGTCCAAAATTTCGAAAAGGGTTACATAAGGCAAACCTTCAACACATTGTCGAAGTCAGTGCGTTTACCAGATATTAGGGATTTAGGATATTCTTGAGTCGACTTTATGATGTGGAGATGTCTCATCACTATGAGATTTGATCAAGACTCTCGACAAAGGAAGTTGAGATGTTCAAAGAAGTTATCAATGCCGTTATCAACACAATATTTGGTTTTTCAGTAGTTTCATCTTTGAAGACGTGTGGAAACAAGTTAGAGCAAGAAAACCTAAGCAGTGTGATACATGTCATATCCATAGGATTTAACCGTTGTCGATAGTTATCTTTATAGTAGTATATAATGCAGGCTTATGCATTATAATCGAGGTTGAAAAATCGTTATGATTATTTATAAAACTAAAATATCCAAGTTAAAGAGCGGAACCGTTTGTGAGAAATGTGAGTTTGTATCCACATTTTCTTTAACTTTTTGCATATCTTTTATATTCAAAATATTTACGTTAAATGTAATTTACTTCATATATTTTATTTATTGTTTATTATCTTTATCTAAAATTTATTATTTGCATCAGATTATTTATTATTGTAACGTTTTAAATCCAAATCACATACACTTTCTATTATATTTTTACTTTACACATATCATCCTTGTGATATTTTGAATTAATGTCTTAAGTAAATTAAATGAGTGATTTGTTTCCTAAAAATACTAGTAAACAATGATATAATTAAAATTTTTATGCCAACGTTACGTCACATGTAATAATAGATTCCTACATGACAATTATTTGCCTCAAAAGTACTTGCATGTTAGTCATCATGTTACAAAATAAAAAAACTTAATAAAATCACACCACATGCAAATCCTAGAGCAATAACTTAAAATAAATATCATCATCAATTAATAGTCCAAATCAATTATCTAACATGCTTTTTTCAAGTTCTCTAGCAATCTTTAATGATTTCAGCTCATCGATAAACTGAAGCAAGTTGTTATAGGAATGTCCACCTTTCTCAATAGTCCTCTTGGCAGCATCACCAAGCTTTCTTGCCCTCATCCTCATTTCCTTGCTCTCTTCACCTCTTCCCATCAAAATCTCCACAGCCTTAACAATCTCCTCTCTTCTCACCAATTCATCTTCACCTACACTTGACCAAAACTTGTTCACTTTTGATCCAACAGAAACTCCTATCTTCAAAACATTAACAAGCAACTTCTCATTGTAAAATTGCTCGGCGAACATTGGCCATGCGATCATTGGCAGACCAACACTCAAGCTTTCAAGGATTGAGTTCCAACCACAGTGAGTCACTATCCCTCCTGTTGCATGGTGATCCAATATCAGAAGCTGTGGGGCCCAGTTCCATATGATATACCCCTTGTTGCTTTCTTTCATCCTTTCCTCAAAACCTTGTAAGAAACCTTCGCCATCGTCATCTTTATCCTTTTCTCTAACAACCCAAATGAAATTATGACTTGAATTTTCAAGTCCATAAGCTATTTCAACTATCTGTTCATGAGAAAGCCTAGTAAGGCTACCAAAACTTACATACAAAACAGACTCATTTGGCTTAGAGTTAAGCCAATTTAACAATTCTCCTTCTTTTCCAATGTCTCCTCTATTGGCTATTTTTTCATCATCCTTGTTAACCCAAGCTGAAACTGGCCCCATACTCCAAGATTTGATCCCTATTGTAGTTTTATAAAGTTTCTCATAATCACTTTCAAGTTCATGAAAACTATTGTATAATGTTCCATAGCTTCTTTTCTCCGATTCATATATTGCACCAAAAGAGCCTGTGGCTGAATTCTTAGTCCTAATCCAATCAGCAAGCATCAAAGGTGTCATCTCAATGGTATGAGGTAAACAAGGAATAGTAAATTTGTGTGTATCAGAAACTAAATCATCATGAGGTCTATACTTTCTGACAAGATAGCTTGCACAATTGGAGAATATGCTTGAACTGTAAAAGTGAATCCTTGGAATGTTTAGTTTTGCAGCTGATTCAACAGTCCAAGCATACATCATATCAGTTATTATGCAATCTGGTTGAAGATCTTGAAGCAGAATCTCTATTTGATCTTGTAGCATCAATATTCCCTGAACGATTTTACCAAGAATTTCTGAGTTAGTTCCATCTTTGACGTTTTCAACACCCTCAGGGAGGCCAACTTGGGATGAAGGGAAGTGAATAAGCTGAGTTTTGATGGAGTATCCTGAATTGAAGTCAGTGTCTATGGATTTTTGAAAGGTTGAAGCATTGGCATGCGTATTGATGATGGTAACATTAACACCATGTTTGGCAAATAGTCTTGCTGTGTCTATCATAGGGATCATATGGCCAGGAGTTGGAAATGGAACAAAGACTACATGAAGTTGTTGAGACTCCATTGCTTTTGGAGTGTGTTTTGCTTTACTCTAATATCTGAGTTTGTGTGGTTTTAGAGTGTCATGAAAAACCGATTATTTGTCAATTTTAAACTATGTGCTGGCCTATATAACAACATTGTAAAGCCTAAACTTCATCATAATAAGTTAAATGACCATATAAAACAAAAAAAAAGGCCTGCACTTTGTTAAATATTGGTTTTGAACAAAGAGTAATATTTTGTGTTTGTATTTTCCCTTTATTCTTTAATCATGTTCTTGCCTTCTTCACCCAACTTTGACGTGTAGCTTAATAATGTTATAAACAAATGATTATTAAAATTAGTATATAATATATGTGGGATATTGGATCGAACTCTAGTATGATCGAATTACATGCTGTAGTCGAAGAAGGGTATAACATGTATTTGTCGAAGATGCTTGTTAAATTAGGTTTTAGTGTTTAAACCCTAATTTGTTAAGTTAGCTTGTTTATTAAGTTAGCTTGTATAATGGGCCTTGTGGAAAAAGCCCATTAGTTAGTATGTTAGGTTTTATTATAAATAGCATACTAGTCTCTCATCATTGCAACACAGCAAATCCTAATTTAGGGTGAGAGGGTTATTTGTTATTCTTGTAAACTTGTAATCTTGTTTTCTAAGAGAAAGTAAAGAATAGCAGTTATAACCAATTCTTGTGTTCTTCTTCTTTGTTATTGGCATTGAATTCACAACAAATTGGTGCGGTGAGCGTGGAGAAGATGCCTTCAACAAAGTATGAGATTGAAAAGTTCACCGGAGTGAATGATTTCGGTCTATGGCGCTTAAAGATGAAAGCCCTACTGGTTCAGCAGGGTTGTTTGGAAGCGTTGAAGGGAGCGACGGCGATGGACGCTGCGTTAACAGAAAGAGAGAAGACGGCCATGATCGAGAAAGCACACAGCGCAATTTTGTTGAGCCTTGGTGATAAGGTTCTTCGACAGGTATCAAAGGAGACGACGGCATCAGGGTTATGGGTGAAACTTGAAAGTTTGTATATGACCAAATCTCTGGTAAATCGACTCTACCTGAAGCAAGCTTTGTATTCGTTCAAGATGATCGAAGACAAAGTGTTGGCTGAGCAGTTGGATATGTTCAACAAACTGATTCTTGATCTTGAAAATATTGATGTAAAGATTGATGATGAAGATCAAGCGCTGTTATTGTTGTGCGCTTTGCCCAGATCACATGCTCACTTCAAAGAAACCCTCTTGTATGGAAGAGAGTCCCTGACCTTTGAAGAAGTTCAATCAGCCTTGTACTCTAAGGACTTGAACGAACGCAAGGAGCATAAACCTTCGACGGTTGGTGAAGGTTTGGCTGTTAAAGGAAAATTCGACAAGAGGAAAGGTAAAAATCAGTCGAAGTCTTATAGTGGTGACACATCTGGTATTAGATGCTATCACTGTAAGAAAGTAGGTCACACAAGAAAGGTGTGCCCTGAACGCCTGAAAGATCATGGAGGTAAGGATAATGGCAATGCAGCTATTGTCCAAGATGATTTCGAATCATCTGATGTTCTTGTGGTTTCAAGCAACAACTCGTCGAAGGAGTGGATTATGGACTCTGGATGCACTTGGCACATGACTCCAAACAAAGACTTGTTCGAGGAATTATGTGATCAAGATGGTGGATCTGTATTGCTGGGAAACAACAAAGCTTGCAAGATTGCAGGCGTTGGATCTGTGAGATTCAAGCTCCATGATGAGTCAATAAGATTGTTGACTGAAGTCAGGTATGTACCTGATTTGAAGAGAAATTTGATTTCTCTTGGTGAATTCGACAAGAAAGGATATGTGTTTCAAGGAGAGAAAAGTATCCTGAGAGTCATGAAAGGGTCGAAGGAAGTCTTGAGAGGCGTGAAGAAACAAGGCTTGTATACCCTTGAGGCTGAAGTTGTAAGTGGTTCGACAAATGTTGCATCCACGAAACCTTTGTCGAAGACAGAAATTTGGCACATGAGATTGGGCCATGTCAGTGAAAGGGGTCTGGTCGAATTAGGGAAACAAAATCTGCTTGGTGGAGATAAAGTCGAAAAGCTGAAGTTTTGTGAACCCTGTGTACTTGGAAAGTCCTGTAGAATGAAGTTCAACAAAGGCAAACAAAGAACACATGGATCCCTTGATTACATCCATGCTGACCTTTGGGGGCCTGCAAGGTGTCCATCACATTCAGGAGCAAAGTATTTTCTATCCATAGTAGATGACTATTCCAGAAAGTTATGGGTATTCATCCAGAAGACTAAGGATGAAACTTTTGAAAATTTCAAAAGTTGGAAGACTCTTGTCGAAAATCAAACTGGCAGAAAGGTAAAGAGGTTGAGAACCGACAATGGCCTTGAGTTTTGCAATGAGGCGTTCGACAGTTTTTGTGTTGCCTCTGGTATTGCAAGGCACAGAACGACCGCAGGTACTCCACAACAAAATGGTTTGGCTGAAAGGTTTAATCGAACTATTTTGGAGAGAGTTAGATGCATGTTGACTAGTGCTGGATTAAAGAAGGTGTTTTGGGCTGAGGCTGTTTCGACAGCAGCATATCTGATAAACAGATGTCCTTCGACAGCGTTAGATATGAAGACACCCAAAGAAGTTTGGTCGGGACATCCACCAGATCTCGACAAACTAAGAGTATTTGGCTGTGTAGCCTATGCTCACATTAGGCAAGACAAGGTCGAACCTAGAGCTCTGAAATGCATGTTTATGGGATACCCTGAAGGAGTGAAAGCTTATAGGCTATGGTGCCTAGAGCCAGGTCACAGGAGGTGTATCACCAGTCGAGATGTAGTTTTCAATGAAACTGAAATGGCTTTCAAGAAAACTGATGATGTTGACGAAGAGCTGGAACAGGTAGAGATTCCTGTTGAGGTGGAGCATGTTGATGCTGAAATGCGTATCCCAGATGAAGTCGAAGAAGAAACAGAAGATTCTGATGATGTTGAGGAAACTGTTGATGACTACCTATTGTCGAGAGATAGGCAAAGAAGAGTCATAAAACCACCTCAGAGACTTGGATATGCAGATCTTGTAGCTTATGCCTTAATCTCTGCAAGTGAAGTTCTAGACGAAGAACCTAGAGATTATAAGGAAGCTATAAGGAGTCGAATGAAGACTGAATGGCTAAAGGCCATGCATGATGAGATGAAATCTCTTCATGATAATCACACTTGGGAACTGATCAAGAAACCTGTTGGGGCAAGGTTAGTCAGCTGTAAGTGGATTTTCAAAGTTAAGGAAGGAATTGAAGGAGTAATGTCGAAGAGGTACAAGGCAAGATTAGTCGCAAGGGGTTTCACTCAGAAAGAAGGTGTCGACTTCAATGATGTATTTTCCCCTGTTGTGAAGCACAGATCCATTCGAATGTTGCTTGCCATGGTGGCTCAGTTCGACCTTGAACTGGAACAAATGGATGTGAAGACTGCGTTCTTGTATGGTGACTTAGACGAAACAATCCTGATGAGGCAACCTGAAGGGTATGTCGAAAAGGGGAAAGAAGATTATGTGTGCAAACTGAAGAGATCTTTATATGGACTTAAACAATCTCCTCGACAATGGAATAAGAGATTCGACAAGTTCATGGAACACATAGGTTTCATTAGAAGTCAGTTCGACCACTGTGTTTACTCCAGATTTCGACCTGAAAATTCATTTGTAATTTTGTTGCTTTATGTTGATGATATTCTGATAGCAAGCAACAATGTCGAAGATGTAATGAGGGTGAAGGCTGAACTCAATAAGGAGTTCGACATGAAGGATCTGGGAGCTGCATCTAGGATTCTTGGAATTGACATTCGAAGAGATATAAAGCAGTCGAAATTATGCTTATCTCAAGAGGCATACCTACGAAAGATTCTTGACAAGTTTGGTATGTCGAATTCAAAGCCTGTTGTGACTCCAACAAACCCTCAATTCAAGCTGAGCATTGATCAATGTCCCAGTACTGATGTCGAAAGAACCTATATGAACAGCATCCCATATGCTAATATAGTTGGTTCTTTGATGTATGCTATGGTCTGTACTAGACCCGACATAGCATATGCAGTAAGTCTTGTAAGCAGGTACATGGCGAATCCTGGAAAGGCTCACTGGCAAGCGTTAAAGTGGATTCTAAGGTACATAAATGGGTCTCTGAACAGAGTCTTAATTTATGGTGGAGCCTTGGGTGAAGATAGTAAAGCAGCTGTCGAAGGCTATGTTGACTCTGATTATGCAGGCTGTATGGATTCCAGAAAATCTATTTCTGGATATGTTTTCACTATGTTTGGTACAGCAATTAGTTGGAAAGCAACTCTTCAAAAGGTTGTTGCCTTATCAACTACTGAAGCAGAATATATTGCCCTAACTGAAGCTGTGAAAGAAGCATTGTGGCTTGAAGGTTTTGCAAAGGAACTGAAACTTCAAGGTCAAGGTATCACTGTTAAATGTGATAGTCAAAGTGCAATACACCTGTCGAAGAACTCAGCCTATCATGAGCGAACCAAGCACATAGATGTGAGGCTGCATTTCGTCAGAGGGGTAATCGAGCGTGGAGAAGTCCAAGTGCTGAAGGTTTCGACAGATCACAATGCCGCTGATATGATCACCAAAACATTGCCAAGTTGCAAGTTTTTCCACTGTATGCAGTTGATAAAGCTGCATGAAGAAAGCTAGTTAATGTCTCTTGATACTGTAGAGTTAGGTCCAAGGTGGAGATTTGTGGGATATTGGATCGAACTCTAGTATGATCGAATTACATGCTGTAGTCGAAGAAGGGTATAACATGTATTTGTCGAAGATGCTTGTTAAATTAGGTTTTAGTGTTTAAACCCTAATTTGTTAAGTTAGTTTGTTTATTAAGTTAGCTTGTATAATGGGCCTTGTGGAAAAAGCCCATTAGTTAGTATGTTAGGTTTTATTATAAATAGCATACTAGTCTCTCATCATTGCAACACAGCAAATCCTAATTTAGGGTGAGAGGGTTATTTGTTATTCTTGTAAACTTGTAATCTTG